GAATAAAAATGAGTGTCTGAAAGAAGAGCACATAGAGTAATATTAAAAAAAATTAAAGGTGAATAAATAAACGTGAGGTATCTGGCACTCACTTGAAAAAGAGGTGGGCAAGGGATTGTTGCCATATCCATAAATACCTTTCCCAGTTCAGCAAAAAGATGCACTGCTATCTGCTGAAGTGTCTTTTCTGAAATTCCCCCTTTTTCTATGTTCCATAATTTTAAACCCTGCTGTGACCCATGAAATTTCCTGGAACCTCATTTATAAATTTGTTTGCAAGGTACAGCACATAAACTTTTTTTTTTTTTTCACACCTATTTTTTTGTTATTAGCATTCTGTCTCCTCTATGTCTGCACCTAAAACCAACCTAAATATTTTCTTAGAAGATGGTGTTTAACAGGATGTAAGTCATATATTAGTTTTGTAAGAAAACATACATTTTCTAGTACTCCAGCCATAAAAACCACCTACCTCTAAGACCTGCTTTCCAATCCCCTGCAGAACACCTTTTCCAGAACCATAAATGCACTCTTCTGGAAGGAAAGACCGGGAAGGAGAGGACAGGGTGTAGCCTCTTCTGGGAGAGGGGGGTTGGAATGCCTGGAGCTCATTTTTTGGGGCAAAGGGATCAACTTGGGGGGTCAGGAAGGAGCCTCACACTCCCAGGTCCTCAGGAGGAACCTTGTCAGCCCCAGTGTTTGCTGAAGGGACAACACCCTGGGAGATTCCTGGGGCGCACTGATAACAATCCCAGGAGATGCTGGAGTTCAGGAGAAGGGGGAGGAACGAGGCAAAAAAGCAGGATCACAACGTTGGACTTCAGGAAGGAGGTGTCTTTGTGGGACTGCTTGGGACACGGGACACAGCCCTAGAAAAAAGACCCCAAAAGAGCTGGTTCCTACTCAGGGATTATCCCCTCCAACCTCAAGAATGGTTCTTTGTGATGAGCAGGACATCAGAGGCAGTGGGAGGCCTGAAAGGGCGAACAAGAAGCCCTCACTCAACTCTAACATCAAAAGGATGTGGAAGAACCATCTTCAAAAACAAGGAGGCAGACACACCCAACTATGCACCCTGGTTTATATGAATTTGTGTGATAAATGGGTCCAATATATTAAAAAAAAAAAAAAACAAAACAAAACAACAAAGTAACATGCAATATTAATCACAATAAAAATAAATTCCCTCCAAATTAAGAGGGAAGAAACAAGCCCAAAATCTCAAGTTTACCTTTCCTGTCTTTATGTAACTGCACTTTAGGTCTTCTCCTCATAATTTGAAGCTGTACAATTTAAATGTGACATTTGTACATCTACTCAAATGAAAAGTTCCCCAAATATCGACAGTTACAGAAACAGGTAAATCTAATAACACCAAACACCAGCAATGATTTTATTTAAGTTATCATTCCCTTTAATCCCAGCTGGGTGTTACTGCATGACCTAGTGAGGTTTCTTTGGATCATTATGTGCTGATCTGTCAATGTTTTCTTCAGTTTAAACTTTCTCCCTTACCTTTCTAAAACACCACTTAAAAAAGGATCCTATCTGACCTGCTTTTTTACACCAAAAATTGTTATTTAAAGTGAAATTACAGTACTAACCTAAGTCACTTCCAATCACGACTCTGCAATAACAGTAATAGCGCTAAATATGATAAGCACATTAAAGTCACTTTTTCAATAAAAATTTAAAATATTTTTCCCTCCAAAAAATGGCAGAACAGAAACAAAGGTTTCCAAAAGAAAACATTTTTGGTATTTTTAAAACAACTCTAGATTTGTTAAGTTAGAAGAAGTCAGTTGTCAAGAGGAAAAAAAAAGAAGGATCACACCACATCAACTATATTGTTCTTTAAAAAAACAGCCTGCTTAAGTTCCAGAGAGGGTTGATGATGGAAAAAAATGTCTATAACCACAACTAGAATTTTCCAGAAGCAATGCAGTATTTCTTCAAATGTGACTGTGTGGTAAATCAGAGAAACAGCAGAGGAAAATGATGATCCAGTTCTTGGTGAATCATCAAAACCAGTTGTCTGCAGATAGACCAAACATCAGAAGTCTTATCAGCTTAACAATCTGTCCAAAGAATCAAGCTCCTACTCAGAGCATTAAAACCCAGTCACTGTCTTCCCTTCTCAAATTAAGCGCAGCCTCAGTGATTTGCAAACAAGAGGACATCACCCCTAAACAGGAGTGCTCATTTTGTGATCGTGGCTGCAGCCAAATTTGAGACTCACAGGATTAAAATGACCACAAATTCTGCATTATGCTGCAAAAACACTGATTACCTACTAGCACTAAATGTCTTGAAAACATGCAGCACCTCACATCTAGAGGAGCTGGTGCTGAAAGTTGGGATGAACATAAATATATATATATATATGACTATGTGATCAAAAAGGGACTGACACACCAACAAAGAAAATGTAAAAGTCAGACATACACTTGCACCTGCTTCTTTCCCGTCTAAAACAAGCAAGGAATTATAAGGCTAACATGGCAACTTTATGGTTGAACACTGCACACAAGTCAAAACCCCTAAAATTACCCTTCCCACAGCAATTTTAACTCAGCTCCAATTCGTAAGCAAAGCAGTTAGAAATACAGTGTGTTATTTTGCCTCTTAAATACTACAAACACTGAACCAGGAATGTGGGAATCATAACTCTGATTTTACTAGCTTATATGAATTCAAGATCTCAAAGAGACCATTGCGTTAAATATCCAAATAACTCCGTAATACCAGTTAATACCAATTTGTTTATTCTATTTATGAACCCACTGCTGCCCCTTTACTGTCTCTGGTTGTTGTAGTAACATATGGAAACAACATTAAGAATGTGAAAATACTACGTGGTCTGTTCAATCCTGATTTTTTAAAAGCTAATTTTATTTAGATGAAACACAGAACTTTTTACTTTTCGGTTTTACACAAGTACAAATGTGGCAGTGTTCCACTGTCATCCCTTAGTTAATTAATTCCAATACTTGGAATTCTGCCTCCCGTGATTAGGAATAATAATTATCACCATTAGTTACAATTCTTCCAACTCAAGCCATTCTCTGATTCTATGACTCTATATATAAAAAAAAAAAAAACAAACACCTGAAAGCATATTTTATTGAAGCAATTTTGTGACAACAAAACCCTGAAAACACACTTGTCATCCTAGACTTAGGCAGAAATCAGTAGGAGAAGATGAAAAAAAAATTACTGGCTTAGTTGACAAAGATGAATGAAATCTTCTCTCAGAACCAAGCATAATAATTTCACAAAAAAAGAAAAGAGTCTTATCTAAATATCACCTTGTTAAAAATGCAATTAACTGGCTGGCTCTATTACCTCCAAAGCAGCTTTTGAGAATTCCCTTTGTCACAAATGCTGGAAGTCAGTTAATTAGTAAATATAAAGGTGAATGAAATAATGCATGCTCATGTAAAAGCCAATTAGAACCATCTCCTGAGGCATTTGTTTTATACATTATACTCAAACAATAACACAGCAATTTCATTTAAAAGGAATTAAGTCAACGCACACCTACGGCTTTGGATGCCAGGATCGGTCCTGTCGGAAACCTCATCCTGAGAGCTCCCAAAGCCATGCCAGAGTCATCACTGCCGTCTGCTTTTAAGCTTTTCAAGTCAACAGCGCTAAATATCCAGCTGCTTGTGCTGGGAAAGGAAAAGCCAGCAAGGCAGACATCTGCACGAGGGAGCTGCCAGCCCTGCTCAGTGTGTGGCCACAGGTGCTGACCCTCACGTTGCAGGAGCCAAAGGAGGGAGACAAAAGGAACTTCAAGCTCTGCACCAAAAAAAAAAAAAAGGAGGCGTCCAACATTCAGGTCTCACGAAAGCAGTTTTAACAGAAGCACGACTGACTTTGCTGCTCTGGTTTGATCCTCTCTGTACCCAGAGGGGGCAACAAGAGGGAGCACACGAGCACTTCTACAGAGTAAGTTAAAGGTTGTGACTCATTTATTGCTGTTTTTCGAAAACTGTAGTACCTGACTCAAAGAGTTAGGACAGACTGGTACTTGTAAACCTCAGGGACATTTCCACTTTTGTTTAAGTAGTTTTTCTCGAAGGGCATTGTAAAAGTATTAAAACACCAAATCCACTAATTCTATTGTTCAGGATGATCGAAAACGTTAGCCAGTATCAGCAGGGTTTTTAAGCAAAATCAGGAGGTTTTTAAGCAAACCTGACTTTTATATCATAGCTAAGCAAACATTTCTTTCTGTAAGATGTTGCACATATAAAATGAAAAGTCAGTACTACATGATTACATTCCTGTAAACCCCAGGGTGTACTGCCACCAGGAGTTCAATCCAAATTACTAGAGCAACCCAAAAGTAGAAATAGGAAACAATGCAGTAGCTATTAAAAACCATCCTCAGCAGCAAAAAGAATTAAGTGAAGCTGAGTTACCAACAGAAACTTCTGAAATGCTGAAATTTTGTTTGCCCTGCTATAACACTGGGAGATGACCGAGAACTTCAGTGGAAGATCTGTCTTGCATGTGAGACTTCACACATGTATCTAGTGAATGATGTTAACTCTGACAATGGAAGCAATTTTAATTACATTGTCTAGCATCTAATTACACTTTACAGGTTTTTATTATGCAACACAGACTGGTCCATATTCAGGTTAGGTGACACATCACAAATAATTGGCTACCTCAGAACATGCTAAGTCATGCTGTTAAACACATTTATCCTACGAAGTGTTTTTCTTCTCATCCATTTTATGAAATATATCGGAAGAAGGATGAGTGATCCCAGTTACAATGATGTCACTGAGGCAAGTGGGGAATTAAACCTGTATTCCCAGTAATGTCCAGAATCAGACTGACCTAAAAACCTTAGAAATTCTTTAAATCCCAAAGGGCTTTGGAGCAGGCCTATAGATACTTAAAAAATATTTGTTGGACATAAACGTACTCTATACAACCCCCCCCCTGAAAAACAAATTAAGATACTACAAGAAAGAAATTACCTGGAGTGTCTTGTAATGATCTTGATGGGGTACTTTTTCTTTTTTTTCCTTCAGGAAATCCATTTCTAAGACACTATGTTTTTCCAGCAAATATTCTAATTCCTACAAGGTTTACAAAATAAAATACATGAAATCACAAACGTTTGAGGATTGTGAAAATACAGGTTCAGTTATTAATTCCAACCAATTTAATTTCTGAAGCGCTATGACATAAGGTGGCCAAGCACTGGAACGGCCCTTCCAGAGATGTGGTCGATGCCCCAGGCCTGTCAATGTTTCAGAGGCATTTGGGCAACGCCCTTAATAAGTTTTGCCGAGCCCTGAAGGGTTCAGGCAGCTGGACCTGTTGTTATAGATCCCTTCCAACTGCAACTATTCTATTCTAGGCCAATTATTTCCACATTTTTAATATCTTGCTCTGTCTCTCTGCATTTGAGAAACAGCATATTAAATGCACTGTTAGCAAATGTTTTCACTAAAAAGGCAGAAATCCTATGACATACACAGATAGGGCGACCTCTGTCTACATCTCCAAAATTAATAAAATCTCAAAATATTCTGGGGTCTTGCAGAGAGCCAATCTGGAAGCCTGCCCAACAGGAACCAATAGGGAGGAAGGAGAATTACACTACTGACCAAAAAAAAAACTTCAAAATCGTCCATACACAAAGAGCTAAAGGTTTTTATTTTTCCTTAATGCAGCCGTTGTTCCTACTAAACTCATTCCTATTATCCATAAGTTGCTGGCACCCTTTCAGCTGCTCCAGAACAGCTTCCTGAAGCCGTGCAGGAAGCCAGGATAGAAACAAACGACCTGCCAGGTCACTGCACAGCTATTCAAACAAAGGCACAACTGAGAGGGTCACAGGGAGGACACAAAGAGCAGGTTTGCTCAGTTCAACCCTGCTTTGGGGCAAAATCGTAGAAAACAGAGATTATAAGTCTTTGGTTCCACTGTAGAGGTAGAAACAGATTATGGAATGTCCCTTCAATTCAGAGTTTAGCTCTCAGCCTATCTCCTCTCACAGTCTGTATCCATCCTTCCCTCCCAGCTGTCCTCTATACACATAATTCCCAGCAAAACCAGCCCCTTGCATTCCTCCTCATCTTTGGCTCCAGTTCCTCAACCTCACTGTCGTTTCCAACAAGCTGTTTCCTCCTTCCCCAGTGCTCCCTGAGAGCTATCAATAAACAGGATCAAGAATGGCAGACACTAAACTCCCCCTCCCATGCCTCAGTGACCTTTTGCCAGCTCAGATGTGTCAGACATAACCCTGCTTGATGCTCTTATCATATTCAGGTCGGAAGGAACATGAAGAATTTGGCTACCAGAGCTCCCAGAAACCAACAAACAAAAAAAGTCAAACCCAAACCACACGGCTCCATGCTAAGAAAATTTGTCCTCTTGTTTTTTTCCTTTCCTTTTTTTTACCCCTCAAGGGAAAAAAAAAAATAAAATCCTGAAACTTTACATGATTCTAAACTGGGACCATTTCTCTGGAATTTAGCTAATTTCTACCAGAAAAAAAAAGGAATTTCAAATCTCTGCCAGCTCCAACCATATTTTAATCCCATACAAGTATAACAGTTCTAATTAGAAAAAAACTATTCATACCTTTTTAATTTTTAATTTTTCTTCTTCAGCAGTGCAAAGCTTGATTTCTAGGTTTGCAACAGCTTGTTGAAGGCAGGTCTTTGCTTCATCTGTTCTCTGTGTCTCAGCATCAATCAAAGCAGTGGTTGATGGAACTGAAGTCTTGTCTTCAATAACATTTGAAGAGGCAACTGGAATATCTGCTTGAATCTAATTCACAGGAGAAAAGGGAATGATCTCAGTACATCAGGTTTACAGGGTAACAAACTCTCCTTGGATTAGTCCAACTAATTTCATGTTTTCACCCAGTGCAGGCTGCAAACAGTAGTCACAGAGAGGGAATAAGAGGTTTTTGTATCTCATCTTTAGGATAGATTACCAAAATAGGAGTTATTGGGACATGTTTACAATATTTAGTTAATTCTATTTCAGTAAACTACAGAAGCACAAGAACTGAAACAGAGGTTTCCAGAATCCACAATGTAAACCAGATGAAACACTGATAATAACCCCATATTTTCAGAAAAGCACAAAAAAAAAAAAATTAGGTGAGGTTTAAAATATTTTGTGGTATAATTAAAAAAAGCCAATGTTTTTTCCCCCTCTTAAAAAAAAAAAAAAAAGGAGTGGAGGCAAAAACTTGATTATTTTGCAGCCAATTATCATAATTTTGCAGCACCATTATCATTAATTCAGATGCCACTTTTTCAACACTTTGAAAGCCATACACACTTGAGATTTGGGTAAGGGTGGCGAAAGGAACATCTCAGTGTGTTTATTAAAGAGGTTTGACTGATCTGACTTAATCCACTCCCCTAACACCTTTTATCCCAAACATACACTAAGACAATGTACTGACTTTTCGATAAATAACTACCTCTCAAAGAATTCAAAGAAAGTAACAAACAAAAACAGCTGAGATCTCGTCTGTGCAGGAACACATAAAAACCTGCAGTTTGTGGTCTGAATTCTCCTTGGCAAAGAGAAGCCAGATGTGCTGATCCTATTTCTGAGTACTAAAGATCAGAGTTTGGCATGGCCAAAAATCGGCAGCGTGGAACCTAAAATGGTGAAGTGTCTTTTTTACATGAATCTTCAAGAGGCCCTGGAGATACAAATAGAAAAGAAGCTCTCCCAACATCCTTCTCGAACAGGTGTGAGAATATTTTATTATAGTTTTACGCCCACCATTTTCCTTCCTGTTTAATCCTAAGTGCAAATCTGATCTCCAAAATAAAGGACATGCTCTCAACTCCTTTTCTCCCTTTAATAAAACTTGCTAATATATTTTTTAATTCATGCTATTTCCTGCACTAAAGAGAGACTTCCTGGAACCGTGGGTGTGTCAGTAGCTGAACAGAACAAGACAAGAATGGCCTACAACCAGAATTTGCACAAATACTTAGTCAGAAGTAAAAAAGTGTATTTCTTATTTTTCCTTAAAATTACCTAACTAAATTAACTTTTAGTTTTAAAAAATACATCTTAGTATTTTGGAATATCCCAAGCGCTCTTTCCAGAGAACAGAAAAGTTAAAATCGCTGGCCAAGCTCAAAGAGAGGATGCAGGTTATTCATTGTCAGCCAAAATGAAAAAGGGTAGGACTAGGACCTGTGGTGGCTAAAGGAAAGCATATCTTGGTCATTCTGCCAGCAGTAGAAATTTACTTATCCAAAGTCTGTCAGAGAGGCAGAAGAAGAGCCTTCAACACAGAAAATTACTGTGGCTGGTATCAGTCAGAAAAATAAAATAAACACTCCTCCCTCTCAAGAAAAAAACCCACAACTCTTGGATTTCTAAGAAAATTTCTTTGATATCATGTGCATCTGGGCACATCTCTTTGCCTTTTTTTTAATAGGCTTTCCCCTGAACACAAGGCTGGGAACAAACACAAACCAGTAACTAATTCATTCCTAAGACTGGACGATTGGAGCTGTGCTGGCCACAGCCCTTCTGTGTAAACACAATAAATAAAATGTAAACATACAGATACTCCTCAAAGGGAAAAAAAAAAAAAAAGACTCAGTTTAAGCAAAACAAGTATTTTGTACAAGTTCTCGACATAGTTCTAAAGAACTGCTTTTAAATGGTCAGACAATAGAAATCTGACTTAATGGTGACATTCAGTTTTCACCACGAGCAGCCCTAGACTTGAGGAGACTTCCTGAAGAATAAGAAACAAAGGGAGGGTTGCAAAGTAGCCCAAAGTATTGATTGGTTCACAACGAGGCAAAAGCACTTTCTAATTCAAGTATGTACTACTATACATCCTGAAACAAGGAAGTTTATAATCAGTAAACTTGTTCAAATCCAGGTCACTGCAATCAACAGCAATAAAAGATTCACTGGGAGGGTAAATCTATTTAATTCTCATCTGCAGCAAACCAGCATTCCTCTGCTAATCTCAAGGCAAAATTTTTTTCCCTCCCATGCTCATCTAATAGTTTAGTTAAATACTAAACACTTTTGCCCCCCAAAAGAAACAATGGTCATTCTGCAGCAGTAGTGCAGCCACAGGGAGAGATTAGGATTGCACAACTAGGATAACGTCAGATCACACAAAAAAAATATTAACAAAATCAACTTTAAAAGTAATGGGGGGGGATAAATCAAAATAAAATAAAAATAAATTTAATTATAAATAAGCAAAGATTAAATGTTAATTCTCTGATCCTAAAGTCAAAAGAAAACATCCACGCATGACGTATACGTACAGCTATCCTACATGCATGCCTTGCACTACTTCAACCTAAATGTGCACAGAAAAGATACGATGCTAATCCATTTAATACTTGAGTTCCCACCCTGAAGCTCAAAAAGTGTGGGTTTACCTGTTCTTCCCGAACAGCTGGACTCGTCAGGCTGTTGGCTGTTTGAACAGCTGCTGCCACATTATCACCTGACAAAATGAATGAGTCAGGAGGAGCCAGGCAGGAAGAAGGCACAGAGTGCTCCAGAAGAACATCAGGAGATCTGTGGACTTCAGGCACTGGAAATAGAAAAGACATACAATACAAAGCAGCACCCAAAAATTAACTCTGTTTCTGGAGTCTGTGCCACAAGTGCAGCCACGCTAATGAAATGTTATGCACCTCACATGACCTAATTGCACTGAAGAATAATTCCACACAAAGTGCCCGTGGTTTGGAGTTGTGTCAACTTGAGGACACTAAATTTAGACTTGTAATTCCCACAGAGGATTTACAAGATGACTGCCATCAAAAGGATCCTTTTCAACTTTGTTTCTTTCAATTCACACAACCTTTCAGCTTCAGCACCAGCTTTAATCAGCCTAAGTCAAGTATAAAACCATACTTATAGTTTCCTAAGTTTCATAAATTCTGGTTAAAAAAATCCTCAACTGTCTTAGAAGACATAAAAGAATCAAGACACACTTAAAAAAAAACTTACCAAGACACACGATAAAGCAGTCTTATATTTTATAAGAGATAAAAAGATAACAATCTAAATAACTCTCCAGCAAATAAAACTTCAGTGGAATCAACACTGGACTGAGAGCATTTTCCAGTTATGCCACAAAAATCCTGAACAGTGGATCAACATTATCAACCCAGCACAACAGAAACCTGAGTGCTCTTATGAAGGACATTAATTTATGTCCTAAACTAAACAAACAGAGAGGAGAAGAGAAAGCTTGGCATACATTTTTAATTTAACAGCAAAGTCCTGCAAACTTTGATGTGTTCAGCTACAGGTGTGCCTTTGCAGAAGACAAAAAACTATATGCAATTGTTTTAGAAAAAGCAGCTCACGTTATCAATGTGACCCTGGTAAAATGTAAAAAGATGCCACCAGCCTGGACAAGGCTCAACCTCTCCACGTCACTGTTTAGTGCTGCACAAGTACACAGCACAAACAATGTGTACACTGGCCTAAAGGACACACCAATCTGTGGATCCAGTCCTATCTTTACTCTCCAGTTCTAGGATTCAGGTATAACACAGAGGAACAGGCAAACCTCATCTGCTAAAAAGAAAGAAAATGGACCACGAGGCAGAAAAAATATCAGTATGATAATTGCAGTGACAATGATTGGAACATATGGCCAAAAAATAAACAACAAAAACAAAACAAACAAACAAACCCAGACAAAACCCCAAACAAACAAACAAGAAAACAAAACAAAACAACTCAAAAAACCACAGTGCAGCAAAAAATGGAAACTTGGCTGAAAGGCCTACAGGACAGTACAGCAAACAGAAGAGGAACCAATTTAGGTAACCAGGACCAAAAAACAGATCTGGGACCCAACTGCACCTTTAAAAGTAAACTCTTCTTCAGAATTGGAAATGGGACTTTTTCAGCTTCCTTTATGCACTATATCAGTAAAACTCCCCTCTCATTCCAAATGTCTGCTTTTAAAGGCAGCTTCTCATAACCATTACCTACTCCATTAGTTCAAGTGGCATTGAAGTGACATAGATAACCTTTTTGTTTCTAAACAAACAGTAAAGTCCCTGTCTTATGCTATCATCTAATAACCTGAATCTCAGTTTTAAATCAGTCTCCATCTGGTAGAAAAACAACTAAAATAACGCACCAGGCAATCTCTGGCTGAGCAGGCAAGCAGTTTTCTTACTAAAACTGTCAACTCACGTGGAAAAACCTGACATGACACCGTTCCTTTTGATGTTGGTGTTCACCCTTTAGTGAGGATCACCATAGCTCAGGCACAGTTCACATATAAATAATTTATCACAAAAGTAAAAACAGAAACTGAGACTGGGTACATATGAATAATGGAGACTCACTGAAATGAGAACTTTTGGTATTCACATATTTTGGTTATCCAATACTACACATAAGGCTCCCATTTTTTCAGGTAATAATCTGGAATCTTCTACAATCAAATCGAGCTTTCAGGGATTCCAGTTATAGTAATGAATGCTTGGCAACTTGAAGGGGGAAAAAAAAAAAAGAAACAAAATCCCCACCTCTTAAGTTGTCAAAATAAAGCCTAGGAAATGAGCAGCAACAACTGGTGACCACCTCTGAACACTGTGGTTTAGAATTTTCAGCTAAATACATGACCTTGCAGAAGACAAGAAAAGGCAGCAACTCCCCGTGGTATCAATCAAACACCTTTTTTACAAACCCTTCCTTTCATTTTTCAGCACTGTTAAACATCCATCAGTTAGACAATCCTAGAATTACACGTGCTCTGTGTGTAATTCAAGCTCTCTCAGTTCATACCTCTTGTGTATATACTGGTGAATTGCATTAGCACACTTTAGGACAGCTCAAAATTTACTTATAAAGACGACCCCCTAAGCCATTCCTGCTTACCACACCTCAGGTACCAAAAATGGAACAGTTTCACAACCCCTGAGACAAAAGCTTGCCTCTGATAAAACTATCTGACTTGACTCCAAATAAACTTACTGCTCATTGATCAAAGTTGCCTCTTATAAAGATAAGAATCATGTACTCATTTCCAGGGATATCAAAAGTCACATGACCAAAAAGGTCTCTTGCAGTAAATTAACTTATTCACAGCAACATCTGCATGAAAAACTCATCTGAAGATTTTACAGTAATAAAATATTCTGACTACAGGTGTTTTTCTTTTAATTTTGAAGTACTTTAAAGTACCTTGGTATAACACCCTAAGACTTCTTCTGTCACTTATAGTCATACAAAAAACTTCTGTGTTCTCTACAAATAATTAAATTCTACACACCTTGTAAGATTTAAATCAGACTTCACGAGGCAGACACTGCACAGCTATATTGGATTTAATTTATTAAGCACATTCAAACATGCTACTGAATTTAAGCAGTAATAATAGTAAAAATGATGAGATGAATAATAAAGCTATTTGAAAAAATATAGTTTCCTCATGATATGTTTTCCTTTATTTCAATGACAGATAAAGCTAATTATTCTGTAATGGAAGAAAGCCAGTAATGCCAGAAATAAATCAATAAAAACATTCTAAGAACATGATTTATGGAGAACTCATCTTGAGAAAAATTGGTGCCTTACTTTGCATAAATTATTCTGCATAATAGTACAATAGCAGGCACAAATCTTTAGTTCCTGAACAAATAATAAACTGTGTTGGGTTTTCCCCTAATGCTGCTAAAGTCTTGTTTCTTTTTGTGAAAACAGCAAAATTTAGACCACAACAAAATCAACTGCCAATCAGTAACACCTCCTCAATCTTTTAGTTGCACTGATATTTTACATCAATGAACTTACATTACTTTCTTAAAACCCACATGGGCCACAGGCATTTGTTTAAATTAACACAAGTAGCTCTATAATGTTTCTACTTCTTCAAATGTTATATATTATATTTTTTAACTTTATAAACTGCTTAAGTAAGAGAGAAGACTCTCATCCATCCCCCCTTCCCCAAAGAAAGTAAAAGACTCTATCATAGCCTTATTTTCAAGTTTACTTTTTGGGTCTTTTTCCATAACTTGCAAAAGATCTTCCACACAGCAAAGTAAAGGATATCCTTTGAATGAAGAAAATCTGTTTCTTTTCAGCTGGATAAACTGTACTTCTCTTTCATTCCTCAAGAAAATTTAGCTTTGAGAAGCACAGCTTCCCAAAAATAATTAATGATTTTTATAGTGATTTTATCAATACCTGTAGGAAATGCTGCCCAAGCAATAGCAGGGGACGTGGTCTGCTTTTCACCATTTCCAAACTCATAACTCTCTGCTGCCTAGGAACAAGAAGAAACTATTAGAAAAACCTTGCAAAACATTTGCAGTCATTTACAATCAATTCCCATATAAGTAGTCGAAAATAGTTTTATTTCACAATAAAGTAATTCAAATAACATACCTCAAATCCTCCAAAGTCATCATCGTCCATCTTTCAACTGGAATACAGAAGAAATGTAGATTTATAAAGAGGAAAAAAAAAAAAACAAACCACTATGTTTGCTATTTTGCCTTTACTTGTAAAAAAGCAATAAAAGCTTTGCAAAACCAAAGGTATGGTGTTAGTTTTAAAGGACAGACTTGGGTAACACGAGCCCCTGTGATCAAACCCTAAAAGCCCAGCAGAGTGAAGCAAAACAACGTTCCACACAACAGGAAAGCGGGAATTTTTCAGTGGCCAGTCCTGTTAAGAGAGATGTGCTGATTTTATGATCCACCAGCAGTCAGGAGACACAATGACTTACGTATTTGTGTTGAAAAAAAGACCTTCACTTGGATCCAACTGCTACCTTGCTCACCTACGTGCTTTGCATCGCCACCTCATCACCCCACTCATTTAGAAATGAAGATTCAGTCCTTCACCCAAGCCCTCATCTCCACTCATTACCTGAAGTCTTTATAATTAACAAGTCCTACAAAACACCAAGGGACCTAAATAAGAACTTTTTCACACAGAGGATGCCAGGGTTAGAAATGGAAGGTCTCAGTTAAGAAGCCTTTTTTTTTTTTTTAATTGATCAAGTTAAACACAAAAAAATGGATATTTTATGATAGAAATTGACTGTCTTCAAGGGTAAACATAAACACTGCCCACTGTCAAACATCTTTTGAAAGCAAAAAGGAAGGAAAAGCTCTCTAATATAGGAAAACAGAAAGATGGTCCTTTAAAAGCTATATCTATTGTATAGATATATTGTATATCTATCTATATATAGTGCAGCAGTCAAGTCCCCAGGACCTCAACAAATGGTACTAAAAACAGCAAATAATCAAGTCTGGATATATATAAAAATAAATAAATAAATAAATAAATAAATGTCCAGAAAGTAGGATTCTGACCACCAGATTCCAAAAGGGTTATCTTCACTCATGATGAAAACAACCCAATTTAATGCAAATATTATCTACCATGTACATTGTATGATTTTGTGTTTATGATTTAAAACATAAAAATATTTTCCATTGTTAAGTTGCTTTTCCAAATCAGCACTGTGATTAAATCCAAAAAGATTTCCTGCTTTTCCCATCTCTTCTTAGCTATCTGGCAACATCAGAACAAACTGGAACTTGGAAAAAGACTGTGGTGAATTTCTGGAAATTCTTCTGCTACCACAGAGGTCCTTCCCTAGGTTTCATGGAGGGTCTGATTTAGATTTTACAAACTGATCAGCATTTTTGACTTGTAGCCCTGAATTCTGTGGCATTTTGATATATTTATAGTTAAATTGCAGTTCCTTTTACAAAAATGCAGGGTAATTTACTCAGCTAATGAAAGTAACTCAAGATATACAAAGCTGTTCAAAGAAAGGTATTATATATTTAACTATACATATACATATATATATATATATATATATATATATATAAAATTTTGATACAGGAATGAAGGATGACCCAAAAAACCTTCATGGTCTTTACAGAATGTTAAAATGTTTATAAAACTAACTGACTTCAGTTAAAATAGACTATAGGCTGGACAAACTTTTATTACTAAGAAAACACATGCTCAGAAACAGAAGAATTCAAAGGATCTGGAGGAAATCTCCAAATGGACATATCAGAATGCCAGAAGGGGACACTTTCAGTTCACATCCACAGCTGATATTCACTACCAAGACTGACTTCAATTCAAACATCCCCCAAAGCTTAACAAATTAATTTCTAAGTTCTGACTGATGAACTTTGAAGGCTCCAGGGTGACCTCATTGTGGCCTTCCAGGCACCTGAAGGGAGCCCACAAGGAAGATGGAGAGAGACATTTCCAAGGGCCTGGAGTGACAGGACATGGGGAATGGCTTCAAACTGACAGAGAGTGGGTTTAGATTGGATATTAGGAATAAATCCTTCCCTGGGAGGGTGGGCAGGCCCTGGCACAGGTTGCCCAGAGAAGCTGTGGCTGCCCCATCCCTGGCAGTGTCCAAGGCCAGGTTGGATGGGGCTCTGAGCAACTTGGGACAGTGGAAGGTGTCCCTGCCCATGGCAGGGGGTTGGAACTGGATGATCTTTCAGGTCCCTTCCAACCCAAACCATTCTATGATTCTATGAAGAATCATCACCATCACTGTGTTAGCAGACAGAATTGGTCAAATTTGGGGGACTACAAGGAATTTTTGGCTTTGTGTTGGTTGAATTTTGCGCTGGTTAATTTTTCAAGAGAGAAAGGAGGTGAATTGGTCAAACACTCATGCACTCCATTAAAATTCAGAATATAACTCTAAAAAATAGCACTTGAAAAAACCCTCAAATGATAGGTGATGGAAGTTGTACAGACAGAAGGTGACTGCTGAAACAGCAGTGCACGAGCCGAGAATGCCAGTGTATCCATGCCACCTCCCACTAAACACCACCCAAACCAGACTGGTGATTTATGTAATTACTGCAAAACACACCGTTCAAGTAGCAATCAGAGCAGTCAGGTGGAGAGAGTGAGCCTTTAGACAGGCAAACAGGTACTTTATCTGTACACTGTGTATCACATCAACAGGTCCTTCAGGCTCTACACAAAGTTCCTTCAAAGCACCTTTTCTCCACAGTGTGCAAGGGACATCATTCCCACCCTCTCAGGACTGGTTATGTCTCAACCAGAGAAAATACATTCAGTGTACTGAATACATACTATGTTTTAAAAACATAAACTGGAACAAGTTTCAGAGGAGTACAACAGGAATCAAAGCAATTCTGGGAAGGCATGCTAAGATAGAGAGGCTTCAAAAATTTTTTTGAAGGAAAAAATATAAAATATAAAAAAAACATGTTCCAAGAAGTGATTAACTACTTTGATTTTTTTTTTTTCAAATACAACACTGACATAAGGCAGCAAAGGACAGAAAGCCCTGTAAGCAAACCATATGTTAAATACTAACGAGGATTTCCATTTCCTCTACAAGAAAAATTTGGAAGAACCTACGTATAAATAGAACAGAACTTTTGATAGAGAAAAGGGATTAGGGTAGAAGAAAAACTGGAGAACAACCTGTTGTTGAATCCATCATCTTTTTTATTGTATTTCAAACAAAGTTTTCATAAATCTGGTAACAATCCCAAGGATATTTTGATGGAAGATTACCTTACTCCACAAATTTTAAACACAGACATTTCGTGGCTGTAACAACATGATTAATTTATGAATTATTCCACCCAGCATTCAAATGGAATAAAAGAGAAACAGGTTCCAACCAAGTCTCTGTAGTACCAATGGTTATCCACTGTTAATCCTCCAATTTCCAGTTCTTCAGAGATCCCCCAGGAATTCTCAGCTAAGGGATTCTCAACCAGGTAGGTTATACATATTACATATACCCAAATAGCAAACATGAATCCATGTGCACACACCTCTGTTCTCAAAGACAAAGCTCAGATCCTGCTCTACCAAAATGAAATCTTGATTTGAAATCTAAAATACCAGAATCTGGCAAAGATAGCATGCATCACAAATATGCAGGCAGCAGATCAGGATAGAATGCATGGATTAGATCCTGAGGGATGCTGATATGTTGATATAAGGCACTTCAAAAACTCAAAGGCTGAGGTGTTCTCTTCATAGAGTGTTAGTGGAAATAGTTCTTACTAGAAGATGTCTTTCCAAAATTATGATACCTTCTTGCATAAAAAGGGTGCCTTCTTCCAAGGAGAAGGTAAAAGGGCCACACCAATGTTAAAAGGACTGGTTTGAAAAAAAAAAAATTGAATCGGGCCTGTTTTTAAATAGGATGCTTTCAGAGCCCTCAAAAGTACATGTGCATTTAGACCTAAAAAATGTTTGAATAATTCATTTAAAATTCAACATGAGAAATTTAACAATCCTGAAAATATGACCAAATACATAATTTCTCAATTCTACCCCTTATTCTCATGATGGAAATGCATTTCTGATATAAATAAATAATCTAACATCACACATGAGAACTGCAACAATCTGGGGAGCAAGTTCTTTTAATCAATCATCTATTCCAAAATGGGTAATCAGACTTTTCTTTCCTCACAAACTCGTAACATTATTTGTGGCACTGGAACAGGAAAGAATACATTAAGTGCTGACAATCTTCAGGATTTAAAAAATAACAGAAGAAGACAAAACAACCCACACAGTCTTACCATGACTAAATGTGGTCTCTTGAAATATGCCTGATACTGGAATTAAGTAACTGTAAAATTGGGCAACAAGAAGCCAACCTCAAAATTACAGAGCCAGAAATTCTGGTTGGAAAAGGCACGGTAGGTCATCCAGCCCAGGTCATTTCCAAAACACTACAGTTCTCAGACAGTTCTGTCCAAAAGGACTCGAGATCTCCAGTCACACTGTGGAAAGGAGGAAATTTTCCATGGATAATGGCTAGGCAGGCCACTGCATTTTGCCTAGATTTTATCAACAAGTTTGTGTTCGTACAATGGGACATTAATTTATGCCAAAATCCAGACCAGCGGGTCATCCAACCCAAGCTCCTGCTCAAAGCAGGGTCAACCCCGCATTCAAATGAGGTTGCTCAACACTTCCCTCTAAATGAGGGCTGGTAAGGCTGCATGATGACTGGATTCAGATAGCTGGGCATATTTGGGAAGCCTGAAAGTTTTTCTATGCAAAATGCAGCCACTGAAGCCTGACCAGCAGCTTAACACGGATGGTGAAATGTAACAGGCACACCAAAATCATATTTTTATATGTAGGAAGATCAGGAGCCATTCACCAGGAATAAGACAGAAAAATGTAAGCTGGGGGGGAAAAAAAAAAAGCCCCTCTTCCCATTCCAACAGTTAGGGGGAGATGGAATGTTGTAATCCCACCAGAAATCCCAGTATTCTCCATATCCAACAGGTAAAAGTGACAGAGAGACCAAATACTGAATTAAGTAGACTTCTTCATTCATGTCTACCTCTGGGTGGTGAGAATTCAAATTAATCAAGTCCTGATCTATCACCTGATAATCAAATGTGAATCTGT